GGCCATGTACTGAAACTAAGAAAAACTAGGAAGCAACTGCATAAAATCCTTCCAAGATTTAGAGTCAGGAGAAAATAGAAAGAATAAATTCCCCGTCTTTTCTGACACAAACTTCTAATTATAAAAGGTGAATTCACAACAAATAGTCCTATTTTTAAACAGGTATTCAAAGGTGCAGATTTTGGAATTATTTACTGTGTGTGTGTGTCTGTGTGTCTCTGTGTGCAGAGTGCCACAATGTACATGTGGAGCCTGGAGAACACTGTGTGGAGTTGCTTCTCTCCTTCACATTCAGGTTACCAGGCTTGGGCAGCACATGGTTTACCTGCTGATCCATCCCTCTAGGCCCCAACTGTTTTCAATAGACACAGAAATAAATCAAAGGACACCCAAAAGGAAGATTAATTTAAATTCGGAAAATTCGACTTTTATTTACTGCTTTACATATTTGGCCTACAGAAAGTATTTTAAACAAAAGATAACATTTTATATTCATGTTCATAAACAATGTAAGATGGCCTCTGAAGACCTCGTTCAAGTCGGGAGATTACATGACTATGACATACAGGAAGTTCAAGGAAATGAAGTGGAAAAAGATACAAAAAAAGTTAATATAAAGACAAGCCCCCTTAGACACAGACTAGCACAGGAAGGAGACATATTTAGCCAGGTTTTGTTCCGTGGAGCTGACACTGTGTCTGAATGGGGTCTGGTGGACTCAATGTACTTAAGGACTGGATTAACTTCAGTCAGCCAGAAGCCTGTTTTAGTATTTAGCTTAAGCTGAATAAAGTTTTTTTTAAGTGTTTGTCTGCGAACGTGTGTAGAACAGAGGACACAGCTCAGGACTTCATCTTCTCCTTCCGTGCTGGGTGTTGACCACAGGTAGTCAGGTTTGGCCTTTGCCCACTGAGCCATCTCCCTGGCCCCAGATTGAAAGTCCGAGCAATAAAAAAAAACCTGAGTGTTAAAGTTCGTCTTCTGATTCTTGGTCACTAGTTTTCTGAGGCTGTCTCTTGATGTTGATTATTAAATCGATGGTTAATATTTTCATCAAACACTGAAGAACTGAAGTCAGTAATTGGTACTTACCAGCTACTGACTCGAAGCCTGACTGACCACTTACCATAGGTTGACTGGTTTGCAGTGCATGGAGGGACTGCATGTATATGTGTGGGAAACTGTCCTTTCCCCTCTTAGCCTTATAAAGGATTTTAGGGATGCCTAAAAGAGCGTCTGCTATCAACATGCTGATGGCGGATTCATCTGACTGTCGGCACTGTTTGGCATAGCTGAGGAGGTAGTAATGCATCAAAATCTCAAAATTTCCACCCACTGGCAGAACACAGCCTGCTGGGACAGATGATGAACACAGATCCTGGGAAGTACAGGTGTCTAGTGACTTGTTTATCACTGGCGACGTGTACCCCTTTCTGGGATTATCTGTGACCTGTAAAGGCTCGAGAGAAATTTCTGCTCTAGTGTCTTCTGCTGTAGGATTTCCAGTGGAATTATTCTCAATTAACAGTTCACGGTTATCAATTATCTCGATTTTTTCTGGAGACAGACACTTCAGTATTTCATCTCTTTGGGATGGATCTACTGGTGTCTCCTTGTGTGGTGACCATGGCTTACCTCTTATAAATTCTGTTGAAGCCCCCAAACCTGAATATACTTCTAAATGTGTTTGAGTTTCCAGTTTACTTTTGTTCTTTGCTACTATGTCCTGATACGTGTCAGTTTCTGGTAAGTGATTATTCTCTCTGCTATCATCATAAGCAAGAGGACTGGGGTTACACTGCTCTTTGGTTTCTATGACGTAATTTAGATCAAGGCCAGTAAACAGCTGCCGAAGCATCCTAAATGCTCCATGAAAAGCTCTCTCATGCTGTTGAACAAGACCCAGAACCGGTCCACAAAGGACCATACAGTGAGGTATAAACGCACACGTGCTAATCAAGCCAAGATGAACATACCTTTTGGATCTAAGGATGAGGGGTTTGCAAAACTTCACCAGAGTACTATCAGAAATTTCACACCGTGAAGCCACCTTTGGTAGGACACAAGGAGAAAGACCAGTGATCCTCTGGACAAGGAAAACTTCTTCAGATGATAAACACTCCACCACTGATATGCTATTTAGTCTTGCACAGTAAATAACTAGGTCTGGTTGCTTTACGCTGGACAGGAGCAGTTTCACGTTCTGACTGCGCAAGTGGTCCATTACTGTTTTTGTCCTGTCCAAGATCCAACACTGAGATGCTTGAAACTGTGTTTCTGAATTGAGAACAAACTCGGAGCCAGACGATGCAAACAGAGGCTGGAGGATTTCCGTTACTATCACCATCTTAATGGCACCATCTGCTGGGCAGTACACAGAAAAGTCTCTGGGAAGCACAAGGCCATCCACGATTCTAGAATCTGAAACAGGAAGGCCTGTCACGCCCACATTCAACTCTACAAAACAGTTGTCCAACAACTCAAATACTTCAACCCCACTTTCACAAGCCATACACTTGAAAATGTAGTCACACATCAACTGTGAAACGAATCTGTTATTGTTTCTTCCCACTCGTCCACAAAAGTATGCGTCCAGGAGCAACTCCAAGGAGTGCCTGCACAGTGTTCTTCCTTCAGCAGATGAAGAAAAGACCGACAGGTAGTGCCTGCTTAAATATTGGTCTACAATACAACCTAGCGTTTGTGTCTGAAACGTCAGCAGAGCCTGGGAAATAGATTTCCACTGACAACAGTTTTTCCAGTGCCTTACGTGACTCTGAATACTTTTAGAAGTGAATGAGTCTTTTTCTTTTCCTCCGACTGCACGAAGTCCTCTGAGTAAATGGCAAAGAAAAATAAGAAATGTTTTAGCACCATCTCCTGTTTTTTTAAGGTGACTGGAAACACACGCCACTATCATCCTGTATAGGAAGGGAAAAAAAAATAACTCAGATTTTCCGTGTTGGTGCCAAGTTAAACCCGTATTTTCACAGCTACAGACATACAGCCTTAGCTTTGCCTTTTCTTTATTTTAACTACTTTATTCTAAGATCTCAGGGATGGGAAAAGAGTGAGAAGTGTTTTAGGTAGGTGATGAGGTTTGGGGCCCAGGACTAGTAGTTTGGGCAGCGCTCTGACCCGACGTCTACACTGGTTTTATCCAGGTCCGCGGCCTCAGGACCAGATGGGAGGTGGAGGTGGAGGGAGATGCGCGCCTAGCGGCCTGCAGCCGAAGCGAGGTACCTGGCTAAGGGATGCTCTAAGTGCAGCGCCTCCAGGAGGCAGCCTCCATCCCTGCTAAGCAGCACCTCGCCGGTGGGCTTCGTACACAACACCAGGCCGCCCTCGGGCCCTACGCAGCGGTTCGCGATGGTTTCCAGCACCTCAGCCACCCGCAGCGCCGCCGTCACGGACCCCTGGAACGCCATGGATCCGGAACCGTGCGAAACGCTTTTCGTTAGGAGGTCGGGACCGTAGGAGGGCGGAAACGGAAGAGGCGGGGAGAAAGGCGGAAGTGCAGTAGCACGACGTGCCCACGCGCTTCGCTGGGCGGAAGAACCCAATGCCCTGCGGTGGGGTGGAGCCCGCCAGCCGTGGGCGGAGACTCGGGTGGTCCTGGGGTGTCCCTACCTTCCTGGCTCACGCTCGCAGGCGTCCCTGGCCACTGCACCTCTAGGTCAATGCATCGAAGGGCTCGGGTGAAAGGCCGTGGGTACCGCCCCCATCTCGGGCTTACTTCTCTAGTGCCCCTGCTGTATCCTTTGCTCTCCTTGCTTCACGCAAATTGTTTTAGGATGCAGGACAGACACCGAGGGCTTGGACATCGCCATTTCCAGGCTTGTGTCTGCATTCAGGTATGGAAGAAACCCCACCTAGTTTAACCACTTTAGCAGAAGTAGATGTTTGCCCTTTATTCACATTGATGACCAATCGTACGATTCCACACATTAACCTCGTGTACTGCATGCAATCCCAAAGCAGAAATGTTCCGTGTATTAAAAGAGGCTTCAGGGAGAGCGTGAGCGCTGGATTCATAGCTAAGGTGCTTCTTTCAGTCATCCGTTACTTTCAGGGACCGTCTGTGATTACCTACCTGCTTTCCTCATCTTAAAAAACACAAATTGGAGTAACATACCCCCAACCTTATAAAGTTCCGAGGTGGATACGCTAGAAAGTATTTTGTACCATATCTAACCCGAAGTACAGGCAAGTATTTGTCATGTACTCATAAAATTCTTACGGTGGATCATCACTCCTGGGATGTTATACCCACAAGAAGTGAATGCAGAACGAACCTGTCACTGTTAGCAGGAAAGTGATCTTCAATGACGTTTAACACTGACAGCAGTTTCCTTACTCCGCATGGCCATTATTTCTAGAAGTAGCACGTGGATTCTGGGGGGCAAGTTAGAACGGTGGAAAAGGGAAGACAAAATCAAGAGTACAACTTGCTGGAGCTTATCTGAGGTGTACTCAATAACTCAGCATGGGCTCCTCAGTAATACATGACTGGAGGGGGAAACAGCATTTCAGTGTTTAAAGATACTGCTTTTTTTTTTCTTTCCTGGTTGCATTCATCACTGGGCATTACCTTTAGACTGAAAGAGTGGGTTATTTCAAACATTTAAACAGTACAGTCAAAGTTCTACTTAAGAGCACTGTGGAGTCATGATTCAAAAGGCTTCTACCTGAAAAAGAAAGACTGCCTTTATGCTTACTGTGTAGTTTTTGGGGTCATTTAGATATGCTGAGCCTCATTTTTAATGTAGGAAATATGTATAATTTCCACTTATTTTTAAAAAAGAATATAAAGAACCAAGTAAAACATACATTAGAGATTCTGTCAAGTCCGCCCACCCATCCCTCCCTCCCTCCCTCCCTCTCCCCCTCCCCCCCTCTCTCACACACACACACACACACACACACACACACAAAAATAAATAAGAGGATTTAGTACATTATGCATTAATACATTATATCAAGAGTCACTGGATCACAGATTGCTCTTTTAAAAAAGTTTATTTAGAATACCTACTCGTAGAAGTTAACATAATTTTACAGATCATTAGAAAAATTCTTTTCTCCCTGCAAACATAATAGGTTAGGAATAATAGATTAGAAATGTATACATTACAAAACCGCCTGTGACTATCTATACATTTACTATGCACCTTAAGAGAATTCAACAGTGTGCTATATTTACACTGCAGGTGACAACACACTTATACCTAGCATACAAAACTGACCAGTGCTAGTGCTTGACTTTATAAGCCCATTAACTGAAGTATTTAAAATTAAATGTATATTTTACATGCCAAAAGTGGAAATAAACTCAACTGAGGTTCTGTGGCTCATCATTGAAATGGTTCATGGCATTTTTTTCAAATAAAGAATTTCAATATTATGATATTAAAATAATTTTTATGATAAATAAAGAGGCTGATTTTTCTAAATACTTCATAAAGTATAGTCACATTCATTTTTGTCAAGGTTTTCCTGTGGCTCTCGCTAAATATGCTAATCTTATTAGTAAGACACTGGTCCTGTACAATGTTAACAGTCCATCTTCAATTAAAAACTGTAACAAAATCGTACTTTAAATGTAACAAAAACTGGATATACTAAACCCACACGATACATAACAAAATGAAACCAAATTATGCAGTGGTGGCAGGTTGTACATTTTAAAGAATCTCTTTTTATATTTATTCAAATAAGAAAGAAGTTGAAATGTAAACATATTGAATTATGAAAGGTTCCTCTCACTAGGTCAAATTGGAAAATTTGATATAAACATGAACATTTCTTTATTTATATTTAACATAATTCAAAATAGTCTACATTCTCCCGTATGGCTCATCTTTGCCATCATACCTGTAATAAGACAAAAAACAAAAACAAAAACAAACTATTTACTGTTGACTAGAAATGCTAAACACTCAAAAAAGATGAAGTTTTATACATTTGTTTTTTAAAATTTTGATGAAGATATTCTTCAAAAAGTTAAAACTGCCTTCCACAAAATTCTGTGAATATGGCACAAGATGACACCCAAAACAGTGTGAATTCCATCAAAAAGGCACTGTTTACAATACTCAGAACGATCTGACAAGTGTACTTCATTGATGTCTGAGTATGAATATATTTGAAATAGTTATCTACACAAACCCTTATAAAAGTACAGCAGCACTGCTTATTCTTCAGCTATATAAAAGGAAATAAAGTGACACAGACAAATGACCCTTTTATGACAAATAAGCTAGAAACACATTATGGTTCTGTAACAAAAAAAATAACAAAAATCTTTCCTTAAAGGCACAAAAGCATGAAATATTAAATGAGGATTGTATCTCACAAGGCCAACTTTTCAATGGAATGCAGCTGTCAACTGAGCTGTGACAAAGATTACCAATGCCCCTTTCTAAGTCATACTAAAAAACAGTAGTGATAGGAGTTACAAGTTAAATATCTATTGCTGTACCACATGTGTCAATAATTGTGATTATCTAAATTTTTATGTGAGAAAATGAAGTTTTAGATATATGAAAGAAAAACTGGTCATAGTCACAAACCCTAGAAACCACAATGAATTTTCAGCAAGTTTGGAACAGTGAGTCACACACACATTATGACTCCATTTATGAAGAAAGTTAACCTTTAGATCAGATTGTTCGAGGTCAGTCACACACTGGCTAAACTAAAGTTCAACTATATGTTGTTTAAAGGACTTACATATGAATCCACCAATTCCTGAGTTTTGTGTTCAGTTCACAGAAAGAAACTCATACAACTAAAAGCATCAGAGAAGCATTTGATTGAACATTAGCTTTTAGTGTATAAGAAACAGTCACCCTGTTCATTAGTTTCTGACTCCTTAGGTAAGGATCCATTAACATAAGCTCTAAAGTGAAATTAAAAAAACAGAAACAATTAACCTTTCCAGTCTTGGATATCAATACAAATAAAGCACTGTTCAGATCACAAACAACACAAAGGATTAAGAAAAAGCCCTAAGGCACCAACAATTTAACATTTCAGGGTTTAACAATGAAACGACTTTTAGTGATCAACCAATCAAGTTATATATAATATAAATTAATAGTAATTTAAAATCATATAAAGATCAAGTTGTACAATATTTACAAAATATCACATCAATGAATAGGCAGTTGAGCATAATATTGGTAGTAGAATATGAATACAAACAATATATTGACAAATATGAAATATAACCCAAAACTCCATAATGAAATACTGGATACAGGTACATCTTGCTTATGCTGTTAAAAGTTTAAAATATTTTCATATGAAATACAGCACTGTTTTGCTAACATCACATTGGACATGGCTTTTCATAGGAACCTAAGGATACTTATAGTCGTTAGAAAGAAGAGGCTTTCAGGTTTAGCAATGTAGCTGTCATCTCGCAGCACAGGGCTGCCTAGCTAGCCGTACTTGTACCTCAGTCTCTTCTGAGTCGAAGGCAGATGTAGCCAGACCAACAGCTCTCTCTTAGTTGCCACTCTAATAACTCTTCTAAAACCTGTATTTTGAAGAATCTACATTTTATGACATTTCAAAACCTTTTAAAGAAGTGTTTTTGACAATAATAAATAGTTATGCAAAAACACAATACTAAACTGAGTAAATAGGCAAAACCTCTTAGGAACAAACTTTGCCTGAGCGGGAACAGAAAGACTCGTACAGAACTGTGGCTTGCCACAGGACGATGGAAGGAGATGATAAACTTCACAACTCGATATTCTCCAATGCTCAACTTATTGCACATTTAAGCAAATTGATTTTAATGTCTTAGAATAAAGGCCACTGCAGTCTTTTCTTACCACCTGTTTTGACTTTTGAAGTAAGATATTACACGTTTCTCTTCTATTTATTCCTTGAACACTCCTGTGTCTAAATGAAAGCTAAAAAGTTTTTCATAAAGAAAACATCAAATCTTCAGGATTTCACATAACCTATATAAACACCACTGACCATTCCTTTTTCACCAAGTGCTTAAGGTGGAATTGTAACATATAGATCCATGTAGCTGCTTACCAGTCTTTAATAGTGAGATATATATGTATATATATAACTATGTATTCACCTATATCTGTAACATTAAATGCTAGGGGTTAGAAAATCTTGTGTAAACTCTTAAAAATTTTCTACTTGTCCCTTACAATATATTAATTCTGATCACCCACATATTTTTCTTGGTGTATCTAAGAAGACAAACTGAGCTAGATAACTTGGAGATGGTTTTAACCGTATAATGTATTGAATTACTCATAATATGTCTATTATCTATCATTTTCCCACTGTAATTCCCTAGTGAAAGCTATATGCCGACCTTCTGAAGACAATAGTTGACCACAGCTGTATGTATAGGAGTGACGGCATCTTTGTTATGAACACTGTTATCAGAACACGTCTCGGCACACTGCAGAACACAGGAACCGCTGTCAGGGAGAGCTCTTGGATAGTAAACACATGTGGGTTTACTATACTCGCATGGAGGCACAGTCTCATCAAAGTGTTCTGGCACTTAACACACAGCCGACTGTAATAACCAAACACAGTAGCTCTTGTTTCAGGCTAAGGATAAAAGATGTGAAAAGTAGGCAGACATTTCTACATTTATCTCCTAGTTTTGTTTGATTCAGAAGTATTGTGATGCTTTAATAAAGAGCAAACCAATTTGAACATTGGTCCCAGGTCACATCTAATCTTTCTAGTTCATTGACTCAACTGTTGAGAACTTCTACTTAAATATAAAGTTTATTAAGACTTGAAGCAAAATCAGAAGGAAAATGACGAAGTAGTCTTTCTGTTGCAGAAAATAGTCTGTGGCAGGTGTACTTGAAAGTAAATGATTTCGAAGAGCCATAATATTTCTGCAAAATAAGCAACAGCACATTTTATAATTCTTTTTAGAAATGTTATCATAAAACCTCATTATTGTAATTTGTTATTTTACTGTCACAAGGTGTCTAAGTACATTACCTAAAGTAACTAGCTCAATTAATGACTGCCCTGAGACTGAGATCGCCAGGATTCAGGCTAGAAAGCTTTAAGTACATAGAATCAAGCATATTACTTTATGATACCATATCAAACACAGTCATCAGAGTTTAATGAAAGAGTTCTTCTATTTTTAATATAATATGTATTGCATAAATGTGACTTTATATAACATAAATTATATAAATATAATAATATATAATAAAATACAATACAATGTTATCTCTTCTATTAAGAGAGTGGTTTTAAGAAGAGCATTTGTTCTTTAGTTGTCTGAGTTTCTTTTATCTTTAATTGTGAGACAAGAGAGGAGTAAAAATTTCAAATTCTTCAGGAAAAAAATAATGGAACAGATTTTTTTTAACACTGTCAAACTGAAGAATATTCATCAGCATTTTTATGCTAAAAATGTGAATTTAGTCATGAAATATACTTATAGCATCTTCAAAAGGAGCTGATGAGTGAATCACCACGACTTTTTCTTTTTGGAAATGTGCTATGAAGAAAAGAAGGCAAAAGCAACCAAGTAGGTTTATACATTTCCCTAAACTGTATAATGTGAACACCATCTTAAGTCCTGGTGACACTCAGGAAGCACGTGTCATCCTGACTGCGCTGAGGAAGCGGCAGTCCAGGGGGACCAACAGCACATGCACAGTACCGCAGAAGGAAGGTCGATGAAGTTAGGCAAGCTCATGTACACAACAGGCTAAAGAACCAGACAATTACAAAACAAGGAGATACTGGGAGGGGAATCTAATGGATATGCAGAGTTTTTCCTTTTCTGTCTATCTTTTTTGAGACAGTGTCCCATCCCCAACCCTCTGGAATGTTCTGTATAGACCAGCAGAGATTTGCCTGCCTGTGCCTCCTGAGTGCTGAGAGAAAAGGCATGAAGGCTTGACACTAACCGTGTAAATGCTCACCTAGCTAGTCTCTGTAATAGACAGGAGCATGGACTTCTTTCCTCCGAGCCCACGGGTAAGTGTCAGTAACTGTTAGGTGCTAGATTATGGAATACAGGTGTGTCTCAGGGCAGTGACTATGCTGCCACACATGCATTTCAGTTATTTTAAGAAATGGCACATTACAATTGCATATGAGCCACACACAGAGAAGGGGCTGCAGGAGCAAGTAAGTCTGTCAACTTTCTCAAAAACAACTCTTTCTCCACATCTACCCCAGCCACGTTCCCAGCATGCCATTAACAGTAGAACATTCTACCCTCAAAGAGAAAAAACCCTCATGACTCCATCTTTCTGCTAGTAGTTCAGTGTGGGAGGAATTTTTAAGTCTGAGAATTCAGGCAACAGAGGTGGAGTTATGAAAATGTAGAGTGTACATGATTTCCTATAACAAGGTCTTGACTCCTCTGGACTAGCCACTGTCAGAAAATATTACCTTTTAATTTCTTCCTGTGTTTGTTTTATAGATTCAATGGAACTCTGAATGTCTCCCAGGTCTATCCCCTTCTTTCTTCGTGTACTTGGTTTTACAGATTGACCTAAAAGACATTTAGAATGAACTTGTAGTCACAATCTATAGTTAAATTTAATGACTCATGTAATAATTTTTCTAGGCATTGGTTTGGATGGCCACAGACTAATAAAATAAATGTAATATTCTGCATTTTTAAGTCTCAAACATATCAAATCAAAACTAGAACACCGAATAGAGTAGTTAGAAATTAATTTTTACCATCAGTTTTATTTTTTTAATCTACTAAAACAAGCGAAATATATTCCATTTAACATCTGTAGTAAGAGGGCTGGGGAGGTGGCTCAGTGGTTAAGATTTCTGCCTGTTGTTCATTTCCCAGCACCTATATGGCAGCTCGCAGCTGTCTGTAATGTCAGTTCCAGGGGATCAAAAACCCTCACACAGACATACATGCAGGTAAAACACCAATGCATATGACACATAAATCAACGTCTACAAATCTGAGTTACTTTGGGGACGACATCACTGTTCTGGCCTGCTGGCCTGGATCTGACGAGGGTTGTGTTCTGAGCTGCATTCACCTTCTAGCACTGCTAATATCTCAGTCCCTTTCCAACTGTGCTCGCATCTTTTTCTCAAGGTTCTTGTTCTAAACTAAGGATCATAGGGTTGCCCCTGCTCCACAGTTTTAAGGCATCGTGTCAATAAATATTAGCAGACACATTACAGGTAATACAGTGTACTGATGCGAGAGGCAATTAAAGAGTTAGAAATATCTGCACATCCAACGTATTCATATCCCATACACCCATCCTCCAGGCTCCTTGAACTTGCACAGCTAACTCATTCCAAGGACAAGCTGGGTTTAGTCCCCTCTGCTGTATAGTGACACTGCACAAGTCTCTTTCTGCCATTACCACCCCAGGGCCCAAGCCTGGGGTCAGGCTACTACATGGATCATTTAATGGCCTCCTTTACTACTTATCTCTCTGGTGTTACCACTGCAAGTAAGTCAGGCTCCCAGCTTACTGTAAACTCACAGACACTGTGTTGAAAATAGATCGGAACACATTTCTTTCCGTTTCCTACAATGTCAAAAGTGTTACTTCACTCCCTTCTTAACTGTATCTTGATAGAGTTGAAGACAGTTCACACCGTATCTGACTTGGTCAAGACACTATGTAATCTAGTTGTCCATAAGTTTTCCACATTTATATTCTCATTTGTCAGTGACTTCCAAATACTACTAGCTCATTTAGGAATGAGAAACTCTTTTGAAACATGAAGTGACTCAAAACTTAGAATATGCTTCTTGAACGCAGTCATCACCATCTCACTGGTGCAGAGGAGCTGGTACTGCAGTGTCGGCTCACGTCTCACTGGTGCAGAGGAGCTGGTACTGCAGTGGCTGCAGGCTTCTCCTCTCTCCACCTCCCGTGCCTTTACCTTAGTGACTCTAAGCTGATTGCTCATCCATAATCCAATCAGTTTTCATATCCAGTTCCTGTTTCCACAGACACTCGAACATTCTGAGTTAATGTGAAAACCACTTACATATACCTAACAGCAGAGAAAAAGATGTCCTTAAAGATGACTCCCAGTGACCTGTCTCCAACCCCTATCTTTACCTTCACTTCCAGATGAGTCCTGGATGTCGGGCTCTGGGGAAGAATAGCCTTTTGCCACTTTCTTCTGTTGCCTTGCTGGTTTATGTTTCATTTTTGGAACACTAACCTGAAAAAACCATATTTATTATGTGAATTTTCACTATAACCTGGAATTATAGCCTCTGCACTCGAATGTACAACTGTCAAAACCACCGATGGGTGCAACGCTTGGGAATGAAAGTGTGAACAATCTGATGACATTTAACAAGACGCGCTCGCTGGATTCAGCAAGCAACCCTGTTAGCTGATTTTAAGTGGGTACTAAGACTAAAAACAAAGAAATGTATGAAGTAACTTCCCTCCCCGACCTGCACACACACAATCGCTCCTTCCTTCACAGAGCAGGTGCATGCTGTCCGATTGTATGCTCTTCACCTTTAAGTCTATACAGACACAATACATCCACCCGACTTGTGTATCTGTCTCAGAGACCGCCAGTGTTTCACACAGCATCTTATGTCGGTCTCAATGTTGGATACCCACTGGATGATGTTAGGTGACTTGGGTAATGCAGAAAGCAGTTGATGGTAAACTGAAATTATACTTTTTGCAGTACACCTAACCTTACTAAAGACATCTATGTGCAGGCACAGGATGCAGATGTGGATTAAGCATTAGCTAGGAATAATAAACTGTAAAGTAGTAAGTAATAGGTTTGAAATTGTGGTCACCAGCCCCAGACTTAAAAACCAAAATCAAGAGAAGAAATGAATCAAAGGTAAGGGACTGTGCATGCTTAGAAATACAGGAAGTCAATGGTCACCAGTGTGAAATCCAGGCCAGCCAGGGCTACACAGTGGGACTTTGACTGAAATGACTGAAAAACATAAATCCAAACAAAGTTTTGCAATTTGAAATTGTAATAAGATGCATATATGATAAATGTTTCCATCTCTAAACTACTATGTAGTTAATTAACTAGCGTTGATTATCTCAGTGTAGTGTACCGCCTCCCAAGTTCTGCAAGTCCTCATCCCTGCCTTTTCAAGTTGCTGGGAGTCTGTAATCTACTTCCTGATTCTGGGGACCTGTCTACTTGGAAACTGTAGGATATTTGTCCTTTAGAGTGTACCATGTTGGAGCATGGAACAGAACTTAACTATTTTTATGCATGGCTAATAGCCCACTATATGGCTATACTATGTTTTGTATATGCATGTATCTGTTAATGGATCCTGCAGTTTCTCCCTTCTGAGCATTGTGAACATTCTCAATGAACACTGTTACACTGTATTTATAGTTCTGATTTTTAATTTGTTTTGGTGTAGAAGAGCTGGATCATGTGGTCATTTTGTGTTACGTAGTCTTTTAGGAACTGCTAAACTGTTTTTCCCCAATGGCTGCAAATTTTATGTTCCCATCAGAGATGCACTGGGGCTCTAGTTTCCATACCTTCACCAACACTTGTCTGTCTGTCTGTCTGTCTGTCTCTCTCCCTCCCTCCCTCCCTCCCTCTCTCTCTCTCTCTCTCTCTCTCTCTCTCTCTCCTCCTCTCTCTCTCTCCTCTCCCTCTCTTCTTTCTCTCTCTCACATAGTAGGTGGGAAGTAATAAACTAATTGTGGTTTTGAGTTGTATTTCATATATCAATATTAAACATTTTTATGTGTTTTTTGTTTTGTTTTGGCCATTTGTGTCTTCTTTGGAGAAATGTTTAGTCATTTGCCTTTTTAAAAATTCAGGCTGTCTTTTTGAAAAGTCAGGGACTTTTTAAGAAGTTCGGACATTTATACATTGTTAGATAAATGGTTAGCAAATACTCTGATTCTGTATCTTGTCTCCTTGCCTTCTTCATGGCATGCATCATCTGATGTTTAATAATGTAGAAGGTTTGTTTGTTTGTGTCTGGGTGCTTTGCCTGCAAGTATAGATATCCAACCATGTGTGCCTAGGGCTGGTGGAGGCCACATGGGGACACTGGATCCCCTGAACAGGAGTTAGGAACAGTGGGGAGTTGCTGCGTAGGTGCTGGGAGCTGAGCCTACATCAGCTGTGTTCTACAGCGGAGTGCGCTCTCTATCCCCAGCGGGTTAATGCTCTGGTTGTTGGTGGTATTTGTGCTTTTAGTGTCTTATTTAGAATCTATTTCCAAACACGAAGTCATGATGGCTTACACTGTTTCCATGCATTTTATAGTCTTAGCTCTCATTTTATGTATAGATCTACTCTAAGTTACTTTTGTACATTGCAAAGCAGGCAGATTTACCTCAGTACCATTTGTTTAAGTCTTTTTCCAAGGAGTGGGAGATATCATTGCCAAAAATAATTTTTAAAACTTTTTTGAAAATTTACTTCATTTTTATGTGCATGAGTGTTTGCAGAGGAAGGTGCAGGTCCCCTGGAGCTATAGCAATAGATGGTGGGCGCTCCATGTGGGTGCCTGGAATGGAACCCAGTCCTCTGGAGGAGTGGTGACTGTTCTTAACTGCTAAGAACTTTTACATCCAGACTCAGTTTTATTCCACTGGCCTATATGTCAAGTCTATCCTTATATCATCAAAATGAATGCTTTCATTACTCTGGCTTTGGGATAAACACTGAAACTGGAAAATATGTCTTCCAATTTTGTTCTAAAGCAAACAAAAAAAGTTGTTTTAGCTATGTAGGGATGGACCCTCACAATTCCATAAGACTTTAAGGATCAGCTTTCTCATTTCTACAGACTATCTTGTGCTGCACTGTAATAATATAAACTCTTCCAGTGCAAGAAAACACACTATCTTTTCATTTCCTGTTGTCTTATCGACGTTAGAATTCTCACTGCGCAAGCCTCCCACATCTTCATTCTCTTTATTACTGGGAATTTTACTCCTCTGGATGCTATTATAGACTGGACTATAAACTTAATGAAAAGAAAAGTTGTTGTTTGGATATTTTTAGAAATCTTTAATATTATCTATCAAACATTACATTTCTTGCTGCCTTAAGGCTCTGTTTTTGTTTGCGGCTTTCAATAATCTGAGCTTATCCTATTATAAACCTGGGAGTATAGGAGGCTTTCCTAAACACATTTCACTCATTTCTGCCCCTGGTCTCCTTGGGGACTCCATAATTCCTATAACCCAGCAAAAGGTGTCCCAGTGGGTCTCTGAGGTTTTGTTCATGGTTTCATCGATTTGTTCCTTCTGATACTGGATCATTTGAATAGCTCTCTCTCTTTCATGTAACTGAGTCTGTCTTGTACCTACATAAATGTATTGGTAGATTCCTCTAGCAAGTTCCCCATTACTGTGCCTTTCGGCTATTGTATTATGTTTGATTCTTTTGTATAACATCGTATTGACAGTCTCAGAAGTGAGTGTACCCACACATGCCCTCTAGTTAGCAAGTGTCCTGATGGGTATGTGTGTGTGCGCGCACACACGCCGTCTACTTTGCCCTTTTTGGATTCAGGGGCTTATGTGGGAACACAGACCTCACAAGACTGTAGTGTGCTCAGGAAGACGTAAGGAGGGCACCCCTACAATGCTTTGAAGCCTTTTCTGCTCCTTTATTCCCTTAGTTGTTCAAATGTTTCAATATTTGGAGAGTTCTGGTAGTTTTTGCTTTTTTTTTTTTTTAAATGTTTCTTTGAGGTATTAAGAGCTGCCTGTTATATCATTTTACTTATCTAAAAATTTAAAATTTAAACCTAATTGCCAAGGATACTAAAGATTTAGCAAACTGATAAGCCTATAGAATCTAGCTACCTTTACGTTACATACCATTGGAGTGCGATGCTTCACTTTGGTCTGGATAACTCCATCCTTTTCAAATTGTATCATATCATTAAGTGGGTCCCATGGCCGGGTACTAAAAGAAAAACAGAAATTAAATAGCTATAGAACTTAGTTTCTTATTAGATTCCATTAAGTAATCACAAATGCTGTCCTAATTTTAAGATTTTCTATAACGAATCTTCTGATTCTTAGCTTATTTGGAAGACTACTATCCTAAAGTATAAACTAATACTAGAACACCAAGCTTCAGACCTCACACTATGAAGCTGGGCGTCATGGTACAACAACCCTTTAATCTCAGCACTGGGCAGATGTAGGTGTATCTCTAAGCTCAAGTCCAGCCTGCTCTATATATTGAGTTCCAGGCAGCCAAAGCTATTTCAAAAAAACCAAATAAATAAATGAATAAGCAAAAATAAAGACAAAATTTCACTTTATGGGCTAAAGAGGTAACTTGGTGGTTAAGAGCAGTTACTGCTCTTGCAGAGAACCTGAGTTCAGGTCCCAGCATCCACATAGTGGCTCACAACCATGTAGACGTCTAGTTCTGGGACCTAACACCTCTTCTGACAGTCCTGGTCTCCTGTATGCACATGGCACACATGAACTCACAAAGACTCATACAATACACATAAACATTTAAATCTATAAAAATAAAATTTCACACTAATTCATAGGTTGATAATAAGTATATTAGACATATAAAGGCAATAAGTTATATGTTTTTAAATAAATGTTTAAATGACTTACTCTGAAAACTTGTAGTGCCACTCTCCTGTGAGTGCGTCAAGTTCAAATAACTTACAGACCCACTCTTCATTCTTTGTTTTTCGTTCTCTGGCAGCTTGTCTTTGAGCTTCTTCCAAAACATACTTTTCTTGAGTAGCTTCTGTTTGGTCTTTGGCATTTATAGCTTTTGTCACTCGTTGCCAGAGTCTAATATACATGTAAAATAATATTTAAAAAAAGCAACCAGCAAATGAAAGATACAGATTTTTATTGTTTACTGAGAGTAAATACCGCTCATGTGGGTTCTAACAATGTGTTTGTTCATATGCTCAGAAATGACTCAGGAAACGAAACCCTGCCTTAACTCGGAAACACTTACTAAGCTCTTTTTGCAAGAGAAATCAATTCTATGAGTTCCTAAACACAGTGAAAACTGTTGTCTGAGGCTGACAGGAATACAGAGAAGGACATCCCCACAGTCCTCCACAGTTTAAGGAGGTCCTTAGATGATTCTGACACATCCTCTGTAGGAGTCCCAGACCTCAGGATGATCCACCAGAGACCTTGGATGCAGGGATTATCAGAGAACTTTTAAATTCAGCCTCTAGGAACAGGCCAGAATAGACTTTTTAAATGCCTTCTAGATTTACATATACCAACACTGTTGAGAACCACTAATTTAACAAAAAACAGCATGAGAAAATGATTTTCCTAATTAAAATTTAGCTTCTTTCACCAGCTAAATGAGAGTATTACATCTTTGTTTCATCTGTCTGAGAAGGACTATGTCAAAACTGAAAGAGGCTTTAAAATGTGTTACACATTCTACTTAAGTGGTAAGAAAAAAAAAAGGTTTCTTTTTCTAAGTCTTGTTATCTCATGCTTAAAGTATGTTGAGCTGGCCCAGTCTACTCCCAGTATACTGGAAGTAGAGACAAGAAGATCAGTAATAATAATTCATGGTCAATCTCAGCTATATAGCAAAGTTAAGGCTACTTTGCTCTGGATAAAACTGCATATTAAAAAATAAAAAATACTGAATGATATACACACATCAAAAATGAATGTATGTGTTGACTACATGTCCCTTGGGACAGGGAGCATCACGTGACTGTTACACCGGAAATAGAATTTAAAAACAGACGGATACACATTTTCCAATGCTGACAACCTAGATTTTACGTAGAGAATAAAGTCCATGTAGACCTGAGTCCTGGAAGCAGGACCACAGAGTAAGAGGTATCACATGTGGACACAGAACACTTAACCAGGAGATACAAACAGCAACTTTATCCAAGTCTGAGAGTTCTAGAAAGAATTTCATCACTTAATAACATAATCTATGGAAGTGCCCAACTAACTTAAATCCTTTAGAAACCAGGACGTCAAGTGGTATTATCTGTCTCAGAGGACAGAACAAATGTAGGTTTTGTCCTCTTCACTTCACCTTTCCATCTAAGCCAGATTAGAAAGCAGAAGCCAAGCAGAAGCTGAGAACCACTGATCGAGTCTATAATTTTATGCAAATAAAACTTAAAGCACTGGAGTACAGAGAGAAAGAGGAGGACATTTTAGCTCTGAGCTACAGAGAATCAAGGTGACCTGTGAAGCTCCGTGTGTCACGTACACCAACCCAGAATGCTTCCAATCCCATAAACGACAAACTCTCTTGCAGAGTTAACAAGACAGCAGACAGAAAACAGTGTGACAATACTAATGCAATGCAAAATACTCTGTAATTTTCATGAAGTTAGCTAAAAACCGTGTACTTACTTCTCTGACTCAAAATCATCCTGTTCCTCAAACTTGACAGTGTGCCTTATTAATCTCCACTGTTTAATGTCAGGAGTTGGGTTCCAGAAAATCTCTGAGTTATCAGTCTTTTTGTCGTTAATGAAAACTTCACTATCCTATATTTAAAGGAATTAAACATTAATAAAGTTTATTTTTATTTAGAAGAGAATCACATAGTAAATATACTAACAAATTCTTCCTGCTGATGAATTCCACTAAAAAATATCCTAAAACAAATGTAACTAGTACATTTCTCAAAATCTCAAATTCTTTCCATTTGTATAAAAAAAAATAGGCTAGCTGCACAGAAAGTTCATGAGATTTTATAAGTTTTACTTAACAAATTTCAAATATTACAGGCAAAGCCTCAAGATCTACATCTGAACTGTCAAAAGTGCAGTGTTTGCAGTCCCGAGATGCTGTGCACAACGGAGGAAATTGGATTACTGAGAAACATCTGACAGTCTTTCTTAGCATTAAAAAGTGAACACAGTCTATATACTATATATATATATATATATATATATATATATATATATATATATATATGCTTATATATAGTATATATATACTTTATATATATTTATATACTTTATATCTTTAGAACAACTATTTGTCAAGATGTGGTGGCATATACCTTTAATGCCAGCACCCAAGAAGCAGAAGCAGGCAGAGCTCTGAGTTTCTGACCAGTCAGGGCTGCAGAGTGAGACCCTGTCTCAAAATAAAATAAAGTGACAAAGATGGGACCAGGGAGATAGCTCCGTGGGTAAAGGCATTTGCTACCAAGCCTGATGACCTATTTCTGAGACCCATACAGTGAAAGGAAAGAACTGACCACGTACACAGGCAGAATTTAAAAAGCCATTTTGTAGAAGCTATGTACCCACTGGCCGAGTCCTTAAATCTAGCTTCAGTTTTCACCTTGTTTGTTTGTTTGTTTGCTTTTTGCTTATTGTAATTCAGAATAGCATACGGTAAGTGAAAATACATGTAAAAGCATACCACACTCCATTTCAGTCACTTAAGCTCCTTGTAAGAACTTATATAAATATGAACCGAGGTTGGCAGACAGGAAAATCAAAGCTATTGTTGTTACATACTACTGTACCTTCCTATCCCCTACAAAAGAAATCTCTCTCTCACCGGAAGTGCTGTCCAGCGAGAGTCCCGGGCTCAATTCTCAGCTCACAGCTTAGGTTAATGCTAGTTATTGAGACGCTCTGTGCTTTACTTTCCTCCCTTTTCAATGGAGACATCTTATACATCTGTCAGAAAGGTGGCTCAGCCACCAATTCTGACTGCCTGCGCCTAATCCTTGGAACCCTCATTGTAGAATGAGAGTACTGACTTGTGTAAGTTGTCCTCTGACTTCCACATATGGGTCATGGCACATGTACAGATACACACACACACACACTCACTCTAAATAAATAAAATGAGGAATATGAATGGGTATCTATGTACTCACTTCATGAAGTCTAACCAAGTATTAATAAGTATTGACAAATAAAGAGTTACATTCTTAATAACGTACACAGTAAGTGCCATATAACTAATAGCTGCTTCTATTCATTTAAAAGTCTTAGAAACAAAACATACAAAACAAAGAGTTACTGGCAACAGAACAATACTAAAATACCTGCTTTTAAGATAAAGTTTATTTAACTAGTGTTACTTTTATAATATGATTGCCCATTTTCTCTATCAGATACAATTATTTTTATAATGCTAACATACAAAAATACTTACCCAATGGCCTTCCAAAGTAGCTAGGACTTCTTTTCCCAATTTAAGTTTCCCTGATATTTGATTAACGTAATCACTACTCCCTAGAAATGGCTTTTAAAAAAGAAAGTATTGAGTATTTTAGTTTATATTCACATACACTGTAGATAATCACATTTCAAAAAATTATACCTACCATACTCTTCAAAGTAAAAACAGTGAAATCCTGACTCAAATTTAAGTTAGAGATTTTTAAGAAAGATAAATTTTAATTATGATTATGTAAAATATATCTAAAACCAGACTATGAAATTTAAATAATTTAAAGAGATTACACAGGTATAAAGATTCACAAGCTATGCAGTCTGGAATGCTGTTCTTGCCAAACCTCCAGGACTATATCCCATTGACATGGCAACACATTATTAAGAGAAACACCTCAGAACTCTGAGGAATTTAAAAAATTAAAAAGAAGTCTTTCCAAAATGTAGGATTAGAAGAAAGAATACTGTTGGGAGCGACCCTACTTAAACATTAATGGCCTAAGTCAGCCATACATGTCTACTGACACAACGTCTTGGCCTCTGTGGAAAAGCACTAACCCTAGAACAGATAGATAGCTATAGATCTTATGAATGGTAGCCTTTGGTGGGAAAGTACTAGCCTAAATCAGAACAAATGAACAATAGATCTTATTGACAGGTACATGGTAACCTGTTCCACCCTGCTTCTTCTGTGAACTCTTCACCCAGCCAATATCCTGTTCTGAAAGACATCTGTACTCTCCCTGAGATCACCTGCGCTCCCCAGAAACAAAGAGACCCTACGTCATCCCCCTCCCCATATCCTGCTTCTATGTGTATATAACCCCATGTGGAAAAATTAAAATTTGACAGCTTGATCAGATTTCCAGACTTGCTGTTCGTTTCTAGTGTGCCCTTGTCCCCCATTCTCTCTTTCAGGTGGTCCCCTAGTACCAGTCCACCGCCCTGCAAACCTGGGCAAAACACAATATTGCCTAAAGTGTTTCCTCAGAGAGAAAGTTTTGATGCTTCGATACTTCATGACATTTGTATTGTCTAAGAGCACTCGTGATGCTCCAGCTAGTACCACACATGTGTAAGAACAGGCAAAGCAAGGGGGACTGCATGGCACACTACTTAGGAGTCCCTTTCATTAAAAAAGAGATCCCAGTCACTGAAATACCAGCCTGAAGCAGTTAACAGCAGCTATCATTATAGTTCCTACTTTTATTTGAACACAGTGTACTAAATTATAACTGACATTGTGAAAAGGATTCAAAATCCCCTTCTGTTGACAGAATTTTCGAAAGGTGGCTTCAACAGTGTCTACTCATTTCCTCTCCCAGTCCACATTCTTCTTCAATGAGATCTTGCCCCTCCAGAGAAGTGCATAAAAATCCCTCTTCCCCTGGGCTTGGGTGGGTGGGTAACTCTTCAATACAAGATAGTAGAGAGGTAAATTTGGCTTCCAAGTCTAGTGATGGAAGGCAACTGAGTTCTCACCTTGCTACCATGACACTTGTATTTGGAAACCTTATGCTCCTAAGCCCTCCAGCTACCTTAAAGCGGCCATGCTATCAAGAAGCTAAGTCCCATGGAGAGGTCACATGAATGGGTATGAAGTGTGGCCTTTCAGGCAACAGACTCATAACAAACCAGGCAAGTCTGTAGAAAGTTCTGGTCTCAACTAATCACTCAGATTTTTCAAGACTTCCTGGTGCCCAACATTTTCTAAGAGACAAGTCATGTCTAATATGCCCCGTACAAAGTTTTGGCATATAAGTATGACGAGCACATGGTTATCTATAATATATAAGTTCACAGTATTTTTTTATATAGAAATGATAACTAATATAAAACTGTCTTACTGTACACAACCAGAGTCTCATTCATAGATACCTTCTGGGGTTTTGTAAAGCACTGTTTTAATTCACAGAGATACTTCAGTCACTTAAGTCGTATTACCTCTATGGCACCAGGTTTATCATTTCAATTTATCATTACAATTAACAAAAGGAATGGCAATGTTAATTTATCTCCAGTTGTACCAAGATCCTCACAGAGATGCCCTTGCATGGGTTTCTCTTTGACCTGACATAAATCATGCTTTTTAGTTAGTTCTTACTTCACAACTAAACCTTTTTCCTTCAGTATTTACAGCACAACTTCCCCTTAATTCAGTAATAGCACTGAAAGGAAAAATATCAGCTCAGGACCCCCAAGACCAAGTTCTCAGCACAAAGGAGATTTGTTTCTCCCAGAGGGACAAAGGACAGGGATAAGGAACAAAGAAAGAAAGGAGACAGAGGAAGACAAAGAAAGGGGAAGGGAACATGGAGAAGGGGCTGGGGTATCTGTCCGAAATGGGACAAAGGACTGCCTCTGGACAGAGAAGAGACAGATGTGGCACACAGGAAAGTGGAAGTTTGTGAAGATAAAGTGGAAACCCCATGTTAGGATGAGGTGGTTAATTTTAATTGGACATGTTAATTAGATGACCCAAAGGGAAGAGACCTTGGTGGCTAGCTTTAGGAATGGAATGGAATGGTTTTTAGCAAGGCAGAGGGATAGGGAGACGGGCAATGCCACTGGACCACGTGCTCCAGTGAGCTAGTGTCTTTTCAGCCTTCTCTTACCAACCTTTAGTTTAAATTCAAGTACCGCACTGTATCCAGTCTTCTGACAGGTAATACTGACAGTTCCACCAAGCTCCAGTGTCATTGTGCCATAAAGAATTCCTAAGGAAAAAAAAAATGACAAAAGCTTGAAGACAGAGAGACACTGATGTAAAACAGGCAGCATTCTGTAATTTTATCCTTTCTAGCATAAACTTGCCATCTCAGACCATTCTGTCTCACTCAATTAAAAAATTGTAATACAGACATAAAGCCTGTTCTAGAACATTAAAAAGTGTATTCATATTATGTTTAGTTGGCAATTTTACAGACTATTTAAAGTACAGAGGTGGGCCAATGGGATCGGATGTAAAAGCACTTCCTGCCAAACCTCAGGCTCTGAGTTGTATCACTGGGACCCACACGGGAGAAAGAAAGACCCTACTCCTAAAGGTTACACTCCAACCTCCACATATACACAGTAAGTGTAATAAACAACATGGCTAATCCTCAAATCAGCAGTACCCTCTGTGCTCTCTGGTAATTCATGGACATGCTTGGCAGTAAGCTGACACTGAGGCACAACTAGGCCCACTGTGTTGTTTCAATGTCAATACTGTAAAAAAGAAAAAATCCTTCTGCAAAATAGTTTTGTCATATGTTTTGCACTTTCGTGGTTTTTTTATTGTTGTTGATAACTGATTTGGTGGAACGCTGAAATACTGGGCTATAGTGTTCTGTAGTACAAGGTGATGATGGTCCTTACAGAGGAGGATTTGCTAGTGCTTCATTCAGTTGGGTTAAAGTGTTAGTCATGTGCGCACTGTGTGTGTGTCAATGAATCAGTAACATAAGGAACATTGAATAAAATGCCTCTAAATACATGCACACATAATACAAGGCTATGTGCTCAGTAGTAGATGGAAACTGTGATAAGAGATTCGAAACATTGTAAACTCTTTACTTTCTCTAGAAACAAAGTAAGTTCTGTATTCCAAACCATTCTAAGTTACAGAAAGTTGAATAGGTTTGTTTTACAGAATTAGGCGGCTTAGGCGGCCTTTGTTAGCAAATGGACAATATTAACTTCTGAGAGGAAACAGACAATGCAATGTTGTCTCTCATACCTATTTGGTCATGGAACTCCCTTTTTATAAAATAATTATTGAAACTTGACAACATGGAAAACATGTATGTTACCTTCTTTTTAAAATCACTTTACCCCCATGTTTTAATCTTATTATTTTCTAAGCAGTACACTGTTGTGGGAGGGAAAAAAATTCTCATTGCTTGTTGGGCAGTGATGTAATAAATGATATAAAATTTAAAAATATTAATTCTTATTCATTTAAATTGCAGGTATTTTATTTCTATGTTAAGAACTATATGCAAAGCTCTGAGCATTATCCAGCCTTTTGACAAATGTCAACTAGCACCCACTGGTGATCTCAACACTAGGGAGGCTGGGGGGGGGGGGCACACCTGACTTTAAGGACAGCCTGAGCTACATAGCAAGGCTAGGACTCAGAAACTGTCAAATTGAGTCAAGAAAATAATTTAAAGGACTTGCTATATTGAAAACTAGCAGATTAAACTTTTTAAAGAGTTTTAATGCAAGAGTGAATTAAGAAAACTTTTAAGGGTTCTGAATAGGTAGTACCATTTAATTTGAAAACTTTCACAGGAGATAAATACAAGGAAATTCCATTATTATAAATCACTTTCTTAAGGTATGCATCACAAAAAAGGTAAGTCTGTGTGAATGACTTCACCACTGACGTAGTCAGCGAACAGCACTGTGCTCACAGAACTATGAGCCAAAGTTTTCAAAGAACTATTTCTCAGTTGATCTCAAGCGTAACCAATTCCAGCCCCATACGTTTACTTAGAAAAAAGTTGTAAGAACCACCTGCTATACGAGTGGAAAACAGTTACCTTTACAGTGAGCGTATGGCATTGTCATGACGTAATCTTCACCTCGGTTCAAGAACGTTAACCGGGCTTCTCCCTCCAATATCGCAGATAATGAGTTTCCTTAAAAAAAAAAAAAATTAAATTTCACAAAATGAATCCAACCAATTCAAAACAAAGTATATTTGGGACATCGACATTCCTTTAGTAGAAATATTTAAAATATCTTAATCCCAATCCACGTGCCAAAGCATACATTCCCCACCTTATAACTAAAGCATTACTTGATTCATATTCTCAATCTTATAAAATGAAATTTAATGTTTCTTTTCTTTTTTGTTTTTTGAGATAGGGATTCTCTGTGTAACCCTGGCTGTCCTAGAACTGATAGATAAGGCTGGTCTCAAACTCAGAGACCTACCTCTGCCTCCCAAGTGCTGGTATTAAATGCATGTGCCCCTATTGCCTGGCTAAAATGAGTATTTCCAAAAAGCATACTTAACATGTTTAGTAAAGTCAAATGAAAAAAATCCCATCATGACTAAGTCACAATATAGGTTAAGACTAAAGTTTTAAATATTTATAAATGATTCAATGACTACTTAAATGCTTTAAAAATATGCATGAATGCCATATTCACTTTTTTCTTTCCTTAACATCTGGATCTTTAATGGGGTACAATTATTTTAAGCATTAAGTGTGATAGTATGAGGTACTGCATAGAGGAGTCTGGCTTGGTAGCACATACCTGTATCAACATTTGGGAGGTAGACACAGGAGGACTGGGGCTCCAGTATCAGCCTGAACCACACAAAAAGGCCTTAAGTGACTATCTCAAATGACTAGGGGCTGTGAATGAAGGTCTGCTCTTATCTACCATGCCCAAGGCTAGGGTCTAATCCCCTGTCCACTTGATCCGCCTGCTTATGTGTGTACGTACCCACCTATCTATCTAACCCAGTATCCTTTTTTTTTGAGACAGGGTTTCTCTGTGTAGCCCTGGCTGTCCTGGAACTCACTCTGTAGACCAGGCTAGCCTCGAACTCTCGAACTCAGAAATCCGCCTGCCTCTGCCTCCCAAGTGCTGGGATTAAAGGCGTGCACTACCACTGCCCGGCCTAACCCAGTATTCTAAAACGTCCCCATTACCTCTGGGGAAACACTGATCTGTTTCTTATCATTCTATTACTACCAATTCTAGCCAGAACTAGAAAATATATAACTTACATTTGGCTTATCTTACCTAGCACATATTTTTAGATTTGCCTATGCAACTGTATTAAACATTCATCTTTTCAATGGAGGATCAGTATTCTACAGCTATGAAAGGTCTCTAGGAGTTGATATTGGATGTGTGCACAGCCATGACCTTCCCCTGGCTCCCAACCAGCCCGGCCTCTGGTAGCTTCCATTTCTACTGTCTCCAGATCAACTTTTCTAAAAGAGATGCCACGTGCTATTTGCTTAATAGGCTACTTCATAAGTTATATATACACAGTCTCCTCAGATGTCTATACTCAAAGGGAGAAAAAGGAGGATTAAAAAAGAAAACAACAACCCATAAAGTACCCTTGTGAAGTCTGGATTCTTTCAATTTATAAAGGCCAGCCCTGGTACATATACATTGTATTAAAACATAAGAAAAAGAAAGCAAACTGCAGAAACAATACCAAAACATAAGGCATGCACGTGGTGCTCAGTCAGGGATGTCTACAGGGTAAACAGGACTCACTGAAGCCACGTGCAGTGTGGCTGGGGTGGGCACGGGAACTGAAGCTTGAGAGGACTAATCCCAATATAAAATATGAGGAACTTCTGAAAAAAAAAAAACCCAATTCAAATCAAAAGCCTATTTGATGTGGGAGGGGGTGTTGAGAAACTAAAGGCACATGCCATGGTGCTCCTGACAGACGCTGCTATACTGTATAGGTCTCCTGTCACAGACCTGTTTCTGACTCTGACCACTCACATAATTAAAATTTAGATTTCTGTTTATATATTTTAGCTTTTCTATTTCGCACTTATGCTTGTTTTCTCTCAGGTTTAAAACCCTTAAATTTAATTCTCTGAGTTTTTAAATATCTTTAAAATTAGAAAGCCAAATAATAGCATTTAAAGATAATATTCTACCACTTATAATTCATAACTATGTCTTCTTTGAATTATCAAAGGCACTGTAGTAAGGTTTCCTACCATATTATTCTAAAGTCCTTTCTGTACCCACAAACATTTTCAAGAGTACATCACTAGCCCAAGGTTAAATACCATTACTGAATGACCCAGGGTCAAACTGGATTCTCTCTATGCTCAAAGACTAAAAAATCAAAGAGCAATTCCCTCAGACACACTGAAACAAAACCAGACAAGCTGATGAGATAAAGGTAACATAAACTCACAATGCATGAGAAGGCTGTGGTAGGCCCTCACTGTGTCCTTCCTTAATGGTGCTCTGCATGTATGTGCTGAAGTTAGATACAATGTGCCTTTATAAGAACTAGAAAGGGCTCAGTTAAAGATGGCGCTTAAATGACATGAATTCCTTGCCAAAAATCACAAATAAAATTTTTTTTTTACAAATGAAAATGTACAGGAAAACACTACATTTTGGAGAAGCACAGTTTAGGACAAGGGAACACTCACCATAAAACTTGGACTTAGCTAGGATGCTACCGCTAAGGCAAAATCCATCTTTTCGGTTACTGACATAAAAGGCAGATATCGGTGGGTGATGAGACACCTATTGAACACAGGAAAAGTCACGACATTTAACAAAACAAGCTTGCTAGTGTGTTAGTATCAAAAGTTCAAATCTAAGCATTAGTACAAAGGAACAGTTGGTATGCAACAGAATGAGCATTAATGATTACAGTAACCAGGTTTCTGTCTCTAAGGAAATACACCCGCTGGCATCGCAAGGCAAAAAAAAAGGTCTACAAGTTCAAGTAGAAATGATAATATACCGTTTCTAACTTGAGATTATAATATAGCTTCCAGAGGGGAGGGTTTTAGGAGTCCCTCTAGCCCTGCCCCCCACCCCAACAACGGGTACACAAAGTTCAGAGTAAGCAGTCTTTGTGCTGTTAAAATGGAGGGAAGCACCACATGCTGAGGAACTAAATTCTCTTCTCAAAAGCCTGGGGTGATTATGGAAAGCAATCCCCCAGGCCAGTCAATGTAAGGAGAATTATAAACTGCTGGGCAGCTTAACTGGAGCCATGCACACAATGACAGCAGGTCATTTAGTCCCTGGACAGCGGGCAGTTAGTAGTATCCCGTACTGGATGGTCAAGGCTTACCAAACCTTACCTTATAATACACTAAACAACAGCGATTTACCAAGCTAGCATTTCTCATAAAAAGGTCCCAGTACCTTCCAGATTCTTTTCGTAGCATGCACTTCTCATACCTGTTCAGCAATATAGAAAGTTTTGCTGTTTGTTCTGGGATGAATCCATAAACAACGGAAAGTCTCACCAAGGATAGGATTATATGGTTTCTTCAGTCCCTGGTTTAAAAAAAAATCACTTTTAAAATTTACAAATACAGGTGTAAAGTTAAATTGTCTTACCTAGAATCTTATGAAGTTTCATAGTAAATAAAATTTTCATGAAATAAAAACATAACTTCAATCAGGATTCAGTCTAAATACAAACCTTGCAACTTCATGGTAACTGCTAGTAAACGATCTGAAGATTAGACATAAAAGCTTAAGAAAGCAGAGAACTCAAGAACATATAGAGAAGAAAGGGCCACAGGGGTAGAAAATGACCAAATTGTAAGATTACACATGTGTGAAAATCTTCACCAATAATAAATAAAATTTAAAAGTAAGAAAGCAACTCTGTGAGATGCAGGACACTTGTGTAAGCTGCCTCAAGAGAGCAATGGCTCCCTTAAAATGAGCTGCAGTCTGGCTGCTCCAGCATCTGTCCATCCATCTGCTGCAGGCTGCGTCTGGTCTACACTCTGGTTACTGCAGCGTTCTGCATGAACGTGGAGGGGCACGGATCTTTTCAATATAAAGCTACCATTTCGGTATTTACCCAGTATTGGAATAATACAGTCTTTGTATGTCAACATCTCCGTCTTTTGGATCTTTTCAGATAGACCTCAAATTTGATTTGTCCAGGTTCACACATATAATTCATAATATTCTTAGAAATAAAACCTCAATTTTTGAATTTGCACTTCGACATTCTTTCCATGAAATTCTGTGTATCAGTTCTCATGTTTGACCAGCACAATGCAAATGTACACTCTCCCAACTAAAGGAGTGTGACATCTACTCTATGAAACCACACTTCTCTGTGGATACAGTGATGTCCTACCATTGGGGTTAGTGGTGGCACCTGTCCTTGAATGACCACTTCATCTTTCCGTTAAAGCACTTTATTACAGTCTTATAATCTTTCCCACCACTGTACCTTCAAACATATTCCTTACTCTTGCTTTCTGACTGGAGTCCTTGGAATAGAATAGACAGAGAAACTAGAACATAGGAAAGCTGTTCTAGCTGTAGCTACCACAATAACCTTATCAGTCTATCAGAATGATTAAGACAACAAATGATCACAAACATCAACTGCACTCAGATGCTTCTGAAAGTTCAGTTATCCTTTCTGTGTGCTTCAGCAGCACCGCAGAGGGTCAGTGAGACACCTCAGCAGCACCACAGAGGGTTCTCTGAGACACCTCAGC